GTAGTGATACTGCCTCGGAAACCCAAGGAGGGGTCGCTATGAGTCGGGGCCGACTCGACGGCACATAACAACAACAACAACAAAACTGGCTAGTTATCGCCCCCTAAATAACAACAGCAAGAATAAGGGCAATAACACTTTCTATCTCTGGAGTGTATTTTAACCTTCAAATGCTTTCCATGTTATTAAGACCATATAACAGTGGAGTAAGGCCATATAGACAAGGCATTCAAAAGTCAACAGATAGAAAGCAGTCTGTCAATGTTGTCATTTCATGGGTGACATCAACCATTGTTGATTACTTTTCATGTGCAGGCAAAACCTCTCTTTTTGGAGAGAATCGTAAATAGTTCTGTATGTCCAAAGCAACAGAACATTTGTGTGAGTTTTCACAAGTGGGCTGTATAGTATCACGGAGCAGCCAATCAATGTATAATTCTTAGTAATTTGTTTTAGTCTCCAAAGCCCTCTAACGCTCAACAATTCTTGCAAACATCTATAAACTATATAATGCCAGAAATGTGCTTCTCACACCCCAGATTGAGATAGGGCATGTGTTTGCAATAGGTACCAGTTTCTGTCTTTACCATGTGACTCTTTCACAAAGACAGCCCCAGTAAGAGGCAGAAAGTGCCAATGAAACACTTTACAGACAGAGTGACTTATTTTGTAAGAAAACACTGAGCTTTTTAGCAGGCATTAGCATCCTAATCCACCACTCCTCTGTCAGTTTGTCATACTGTCATGGCTTACATGTTGCTATGATGCTGGAAGCTATGCCATCAATATTTCAAATGCCAGCAGGGTCATCCATCATAGACAGGTTTCAGCAGAGCTTCCAGACTGAGACAGACTAGGAAGAAAGGCCTGGCAATATACTTCTGAAAATTAGCCAATGGATCAGGATAGAATATTGTCCAACTCTTTGAAGACACCTCATCAGAAGGGATCAGTTGCTAGAGGAGGATACCATGTTTGGTGAACTAGAGGGCCAATGAGGGTGTGAAAGATCCTGAGTGGGCTGGATTGACACAGTGGCTGCGACAATACACTCAAACATGCTGGTGATTGTGCAGATGACACAGCATTGGGCAATGTGTGGGAGCTGACATGATGGTAACTAACAATAACAACAGCATTCTAGTAATTACAGTCTCATTTGTTTTTCAAGGAAGTCAAAAGCAATTTCCAGAATGAACAATAACACCAAGCAGGTATGTGCTTCTTAGAATAATCAACCATTCAAGATCAAAAGGGCAGCATTTGCCCAAAGGTAAAGCTCAGAAGGCAGGAACGGATAGGAAAGAACAAACGGAAATGGTAACCACAGGAAGTGAGAAGACTGCTGTTACATTGTGGAGATTGCATTCAATGTCATGAAACAAAACGTGTATGAACAGATGAATGGAAAAACAATTTGCTCACTCATAGAAGGGCTGGGTATGCACAGGGAGACAGGTGGGAGGGCAGGAGTGCATGGCAGGGAAAGACACAGGGAAGAGGTAACTAGGGGGAGGAAGTGAGTGGGGAGCTGTTGCATTGTGGGAAATTGTAGTCAATGTCATGAGACAAAGTGTATGTGAGCTGCTGTATGCTATATAGAAAGTGAATTTGCTCTGTAAACTTTCACCCAAATCACAATAAGAATTAAAAAAAAAAATTTTGCTCTGTAAACTTTAACTCAAATCACAATAAAAAGTTAAAAAACAATAAAAGAAATGTCTCCCTCTGGTGGACTCTAAATTCTAATTGCATAATTCTGGTTTTGCTTCTATAAGACCAAGTCCAGCTTGTAAAACATCACCAATAGTAAGACTCTTCATAACAAAGCAATGAAATATTCATAATAAAGCAATAAAATTATACTCCAATTCAAATCTTATTCAGTGACCAATAAATTCTAGCTTTAGTAGGCTACTGGATCGTATATAAAAGATAACTTTCACATAGTTTAAATGATTTCTACACAGTGCTGTGTTATAGGTACTGGACTCACATCACTCTGGAGATCGTAGGCCTGTCGAGCATGGATGACATCATTCTGGTCAGGCAGGCATGTCCACTGATGCAGCACGTTCTTGTAGTCTATGTCACTGACCAGGGTCTGACACTTTTTGGCCAGCACCACCCCTAACATGTCCACTGGGCTGCTGAACTTGGTCTTCCACTTCTCAAAGTCTTTCTTGTATTCCCTGTCACTCTGGATCTTGGCCACATGCATGGACCACATCATCTTGGGGTCATCCTCAATGTCTCGGGCGCCAATGTGGTGGCCAAGTTGCTTGCGGTAACCATCTTTGTATTTGTACTGAGATAAAAATAGACAAATCAGGGTTTTATTTTAAGTCCTTAGAGGCCACATGTCTATGCATATTCATCTTGCATAAGGCATACTATAACAGACTTTTGTTAATGAGCACCAACTCAAAAGAATATCCTGGTCTCACCCTGGAGACTTGCAGAGGTAGAAACATAAGTGGAATTCCTATCATTTTAAATAGACCTATGATCTAGTAATAAGGAATAGGTCTGAGCAGGAAGTGCATATAACGGGCATCAGAGGCCACCTATGGATGAGAGGGAGAGGGCATCTGAACCAGGGAACCTGGAGAATTCGATCCTCTACACTAAATGCATGGCAGAAAAGAGATTCACTTGGTGACATAGTATGTATAATAAGTAATAAAATGAGTCGCTGGGTCCTGCAAGTAAGAAGTACTCTAGGTCAAGGACCATCTATAGTAGCAACACAAGAGAATTTACCATCTCAAAAAAAAAATACATGCATTCAGTAAAAGTTGCAAATTTTTGGAGTAACTTTGAAAACTGATTATGCTTGTGAAGCTGAAACAACACAGTTAGTTAGATCGGGCTACTAATAAGGTCATGGGTGCTAGTCCTACTGGACCAACCATGTTTTTATTATTCCATGTCCAATGACTTCATTCCTAGAATTGAGCCAATTCTACTACAAATACATGATTCTAGTCTCAAAGATGATTGAGTAAGAAAGTATATATGACTCAGCAGGAGGCAATAAGGTATAATGGTAACGAATGAGGGTGTCTGAAGTCTTAACTCCACCACCTATCAGGAGTGTGATTTTAGGCAAGTTGCTTAAGCAATCCACAAAAGGGATATAATGTATTATCTACACATTGGTGTTCTCTGAAGAGTAAGAGAGATAATGCATACATAGTCCTTAGCACAGAGTTCTCAATACGTTTTATTTAATATTTCCTTATTTATACTACTGTCATAAATACATTTGTGAAACGTGTCAACATGCATAAACTAAAGTGATTTTAGTGATTTTCCAATATAAAGGACAGTGTATTACTATATTCCCAAATAGTGGGATTTTGAGAGCAGTTGTCTATTGCCTAAGAATCCCTGAGGCAACAGGCAATGATAATGCTATTACTCTGAAAGGTATGTGCTACAGAACCAGGAGTTATTATCAAGGGTACAAGCTTGGGCCAGTAGCCACCTCTGGTACTACTGTCTTCTTTTCATAATCTTTCAAGGGTGAATTGTATAGGCAAGTGTCATATGTCTATAAAAAACAGAATTCTTATTTTCAATGGGAGCACTTACATGTATGAGTTACACTTTCTGCAAGCACAGTAGTAATTTTTTTAAGCATCTCCATGGCCACAGCTGTATTTAACTGTTTATACATGAATGGATAGTTCTCTATTCTTGGTAATCCAGTTCTCACTGAAGATACTATGTCTTACAGGTTACAAACCCCTTTGATATACATAAAAAATTTTTTTTTAATTTTCTCCCAAATTAGCTTTTTAAAAAGATGTCAAATATATCAGAATATATTTTCAAAGGAACTGGAAAATTCTTTTAAATGAGTTAGTTCAAAGAAAATACCACTTCAGATTGATCATATCCTCACAGTAATATCAACGACTCACATCACTGGCGATATCCCTGGAGGCCTTGGCTGCCACGATTGGGATGGCATCACTTCGCAAGTCATAGCCTTTCTTCTTTGCTTCTTCATTAGCAAGTTTATACAGACTCTAAGTTTTGGGGAAATAATGGTTAGATGCTGACATTTATTCCAAAATTTGATGTAAGATTGAAATAATTCACTAAGTTTTACACAGAGAGGAGTCTACAATCAATCATCTTTCTACACCTTTTGCATTTTTGTGGAAATTGACACTTAAAGAAGATACCAATGGAACTGGTACACTATGTGATTCTCAGCCTTTACGACTATGAGATGAGAAGAACTAGATGGTGCCCAGCTACCATTGTCACCCACTCAGCGTGGGGGGGATCTATATAGGAGATTCTGGATAGAGTGGGAGAACAATGTGGAACAAAACTCAAAATCATTTAAAAAAAAAAAAAAAAAGGGAGGGAGGTAGACCAGGTTTGCTGGCCTGAGAGAGCCTGGTGGAACCTCTGAGACTATGGTCCCTAGCTGCCCTTCAGGTCTGGAGTTGAATCCACTCCTGTGGCTTCCAGCCAAACAAAAGACAGGCATATAAGCTGAACATTTATATTAGGTAGATACACTCCCTGGACCGATCAATCATGGGAGAATAGAAGGGCTGTGTATGCACAGGGAGACAGCTCAGAGGGCAGGAGTGCATGGAAGGGAAGGACACAGTGAAGAGGTAACTATGAGGAGGAAGGGAGAGGGGAGTTGTTACATTGTGGGAAATTGCAGTCAATGTCATGAGACAAAGTGTATGTGAGCTGCTATATGGAAAATGAGTTTGCTCTGTAAACTTTCACCCGGATCACAATAATTTTTTTTTTTTTTTTTTAAAGGATACCAATGGAAAAGACTGCATATCTTTTTTTTTTTTTATTTTAAAACTTGTATTTCTGCTTAAGTAGCTATATATAATTATATATCTTATATATTATTTTAGGAGCTCTGGTGGCATAGTGCCTAAGGCATTTGACTGCTAACCAGAAGGCTGGCAGTTCAAACCCACCAGCCATTCTCGGAAGGAAGATTAGGCAATCTACTTCCCTAGAGATTCTGCTTGGGAAACCCAAGGAAGGGTTGCTACAAGTCAAATCAACTCGACAGCAGTGAGGGTTTTTTTTTTTTTTTTTTCCCATTGTTTTCATTTTTCTAGTATATCAGGTTATTAAAGTACTGGAACAATTAAGTTAAAACTCACAGGCCTAACGTGGCAAAATGTGGAGTGGAAGGACAGGTTTGATTAACTGTTCGTGACAATTCAATTCACATTTCTTCTGTACCAACTCTCTATCTGTGACTGTGCTGGCGACTTGGGAATCCAATAAGAGTCTGAAACCTTCACTATCTTCAGGGTTTCTGGGAAAACTGATAGAAAGACTAATAATCTTTGGAATCAACTGCTGAAAGTCAAGTCAGGAGAAATAATTTAATCATAGCATTAAAGGAGCTCCTAGGGAGAGTAATTCATTCTTAATTGAGAATCAGGGAAGCTCCTGAAGAGGAGGTGACCTTGAAGTTAGACTCTGAGTGATAAGTAAGATTTCAATAGATCAACATGGCAGCCAGGGGCTGAGGGGATGTCATGGTTTAATGAACAGGGGAGTGAAAGTGCAATGAAGGAGGTAAAAGTCTCCAGGGAGAAGTAACAGGATGACTGAAAAGAAGTCTGGAGCAGCACTATGAAGATTTGAATGTTAAACTAAGAAGTTTGTGCTTAATTCTATAAAAAAATAGGAAACCACTATAAATCTTTGAGTGACATAACTAAATTCGCTTAGTTTTAATATCCTGAATGAGAAGGAAAAAACAGAATTTAACAAAGCTTCTAAAGGAAAAAAAGAGAAAGGATACTGGGCAGGCTAGGTGAGTATTTGTTAAGGTTGTTGTCCCTGAGCTTCTCCTGAACTAGTAACAGCACTATAGTGTCTGAGCTTTTGCAGCAGTGACAGAGTCCAGAATTCCAGAAATGCTGAGCAGATAGTTAATTACAGGGGCTTTTTGACTCCTGAATTCCTGCGTAACTTTCATGATGAAGCACATACAAAGTATTGCTTTCTTAGAACAAGACTAGGCATATACTATACCAAAAACCAAACTCATTGTCCCTGAGTCGATTTTGACTCAAAGCAGCCACCATCGAGTTTCCAGGTTGTAAATCTTTATGGAAGCAGATTGCCTCATCTTTCTTCTGTGGGGCAACTGGTAGGTTTGAACCACCAACATTCTGGTCAGCAGCCAAATGCCTTATCCACTGCACCACCAGAATACCTTTAGATATATA